AATTATTTCAAAGAGTTTTTTGCATTTTGTTAATCGTCCAAACATTTTCTCTAAAAAGTATCGCTGCGACGAAGTAGTAGCAATCTGGTAATAAAATAGTGGATAAGGCAAAATTTTATGATTGAATTCATTCAAATTTTAATGCATTAATTATCTAGCGCATAAGTCACTTAAATTTCATGAATAATTAAACCTACTCTAGTAACTAGCTTAAGCTTATTCTATACCCAATTAAGATATATTTTGTATCTTATTCAATATCCAAGTAAATCCATTCATTAATCAGCTTAAGATAGTACAATTTTTGATTATCAAGGCTTAGGTAGAGGATTGATTATCAGTTAGTAACAATGACTACTTTTGGTACAAATTCGGATTTGGAGCTTCAGAGTTGCTTTTTTCTCTAACTACTGAGCTGATCGTTGCCTGTTATCATGCATAATCCATTTTTCATTTTATCAATATCAAGTCCAAAGATTATTTGTTATATGAAATGGGGAAAGGAAAGATAATTCAAAATAACATTTATTTTTCTTCCTTTTTTTAAATTATTGTTTGATCATGAGACTTCTAATTTGTTTGGTCATGAGATTTCTAAAAAAAGGAAGGGAAAGATACTTCAAATAACATTTATTTTTCTTTCTTTTTTAAATTATTGTTTGATCATGAGATTTCAAATGCAAAATGGTTATAATTTGGTTAACATTCAATTCTCCAATTGCTTCTTAGTACAAGAATGAACTACGTTTATTACTCGGAATTTCTGATACCGAGCTGTTGTAATCTTCATCTTTATGAATTTGTTTCTTTTTAAAACCTCTTCAATCATCAATCTAGTATCATCTATTCGTTAACAACTCTTGAAATGAATTTCTCTTTCTCTATACTGCTAGTTTCATTTGCTACTTTATGACCTACTTTGTGCTTAACAAAAATTTTAACATTGCATCCTTAAATAAGTATGAAGAAAATAATACAGTAATTAGTTATTAACAAGAAAAAATATAAAGAAAGAAGCTATTATTAAAGTATTATACAATATCATTTAACAATATGTTATATATTAAGTAATGCATTAAAATAATATATAATATTAATAATATTACATATGCCGGCTTATTTCAAAATTTATTTCAATGCAAAATAGTATATTCAATAATGTATAAGCTACAACTACTTTTCCACCAACCTAATAAATTGAAATCATTGACGTTTTGTATGAACCATACATTAAATTAATGATAACATATTAATTTCTTATTATAAAGCGAAATGTTTATTTAAAAAAAGAAGCAAATTCATTATATTCATATACTTATCAATTTTCGACAGTCTTAACAAAAAAGAAAGATCATTGAAATATTTAATTTAATAAAAAAAAAAAAAGATTCTGAGAAAAATTTCCCTTTCCATTACTCATATCATTGTTGTATGTTTTTAAACTATCACATAAAGATATGGGAATATATGAAAAGATTATCCATGTAAAGTCCTCAGAAAATGTGAAAAGATTATCCATTTTTTTTAGCTTTCTGTAATTAAACTTTTACTTGCTCCACTGTTAATCTTAATTTGTTGAAAAATTTTTAGCCAGGGAAAATAAATCTTAACGAAATATTGGATTTTAATAGTTTTACTGTTAGAGATAAAGCTTCTAATTTTTGTTTACATCCTTTGCTTTATTTGAAATAAAAAATTATCCTAATTCTTTTTGACAAATAAGAATGAAACTGCAAAAATTCTTTGTCAAGTATAAAACTGATATAAAAAGATCAAATCAATCGACATACTGTTTTCAGGTTCAATTTTACAGGAAGAGAGATTTATCTCTCAAGAAAGTATTGAAATGGTTTCTATTCAAACTTCAAAATAAGCTATCATAAGATTCTAAATTTTTGACGATTCCTTCTGCAACAATTTTAGTTAAATTAAGTGTTTAGATATCAGCTGGCATATCGTACACGTTATCATGAACAAAATTTGAATCCAAAATGGAAGCCTTTCGAGATACATATTGATCAACTCTGCTACGGTGATAAAGATCGGTAAGTGTTTCGAAGTTCTTCAATTACGCAGTTTTTTTTTTCTGCAACGATTTTATAACAAATTCAAGAAAGAAAAAAAATTATATATTTTTATTCCAGGGAATTTCTTGTTGAATGCTTTGACTGGGACAAAGATGGAAAGTAAGTTTCATTTAAAAGGCTTTTAAAAAATTTCGGTTTTGGAAAATTTTAAATTATTTTACAATAATTTTAAGCCATGATTTGGTTGGCAACTGTCGTACTACAGTCAACAGATTGCTTAACAAAGAAGATATCACTTTACCGGTTAGTATTCATTATATTAAGTTATCAATGGATATGTTATTTCATTTTATTTTTTAATAATTTGGAAGATCTTCTCATATATTGCATTTCTGTCTGATCTCTACTTTTTCATCATTCTAAATGATGAAAATATTATCCGCACTATTTGTCTGATTATTTGAAATATCTAAGTGAAGGATAGACTTCAAGATAAACTGATTCTGGACTTTCTAGTAATCAAATTTGAGAAATTCAAGTCCCAATATTTAGCAAATCCTAACGGACACTCTTCATAATTTATGTTTTTCGATATATTTATAAGTTTTTGGCATGAAATCTGATGTGACAAGAGAAACTTCATACTCAAGTAATTAATTAATCTTAGGACCAAGTAGTACGTAGTTTGTTTAAAAAAAAATTTGAAGTGGCATTCAGAAATTATATTACCGTTCATTCTGTTAATTGATTTTTAGCTGATCAATCAGAAAAAGATGAAGAAAAACAAAAAATATGTTGATTCTGGACAACTTCACTTTCACAGAGTGTATTGTTGGATGGACTACACTTTCCTTGATTTTATAACCGGCGGGTATGAATTTGATAATTTTTTGAAAATCAATTTTAGTATGTTATTTACACTTCGCGACTTAATATTGAAGAGAAAGCAAGCGTTCAAGTCTAAATAGTGAAAGTTTAAATTTCATGATTTGAAACTAAATTTGAAACTAGAAATGAAAAATGGCTTTTGACGAAAGGTTCCGTTCGAAATTCAAGATTTTTTGAATTCTAATTTGATACTTTAGAATTTACATAATGCAATATAATTATTATATTAAAAAAGAACTTTTAAAAGGATATTTCATATCCATAGCGGAATTTTCAGAACTGAGCTCGAATTTACAGTGGCAATTGATTTTACGAAGTCAAATTTACCATTGGGCAATATGGCATCACTACATCATGTGGATGATGAAAGTGCCAGTCAGTATGAAATTGCTATTCAAGCAATTGCCGAAATTTGCCAGTACTACAATAACAGCCAACTGTTTTATGCTTACGGTTTTGGAGCCCGTTTACCTGGCGATAATCGCGTCAATTTCCATTTTCCTTTGGTATTTTTAATTACATATTGTTTCGTTATGCACAAAAGTTTGCTAAAGCTTCAGGTTATTTTTAAAAAAAATCGAGATTTAAAGTTTTTTCTTAAGAAAAAGAGCATAAATAGTATTTGGATATTAGGAAGCAAATGACAGGTTAATATCGTAAAATTTTGAAAGAACTGTGCTTCATAAAAACAAAATGCTTTTATTACCAATCAAAATTGCTTTTACTTTGTACTTTCTTCTTGAAACATAGAAAAAAAGAAAAAAACTGGAAGAATAATTTTTTGACTAACGTTTAATTACCTCACTTACATTGAGCACTTTTGAATATTTTCAATTTGAATTTTATTGGGTTCGGGTAGAGAATGATCTGTGAAGTATGCAATTTTTACATTTTATATTAATTGATCCAAAAATTTCCCGGCAACAACGTTCTTATCGAAAAAGTTCTACTAGTTAAAAAATAATTTGAACAAATATTAGAAATGACAATTAACTGATCAAATTGACTGATGCATTTCAGTCCACATATTGTATTACAGTAACCAATAATCAGTATCCTACATTCATCATATCATATTGATGATCATAATATGATATGATGAATGTAGGATACTGATTAATATGCGAAGAATTTTAAAAAAACAAAGAAATGAAAGAAATGAATTTATTGGTGATGTTAAAATTGATTGAAATGGAAAAAAAGGTTAAATGAGAAAAAGGAAAGTAATATTGAGAATTTATAAACATCCTCGACAAATTTAGAATTTGACCACGAACAGTCCAGAATGTATTGGAATGGCTGGCCTACTAAATGCATATCGTGATGCTTTAAACAGAATAGAATTAGCAGGGCCGACAGAATTTGGGCCGACGTTACGACATGCAGCACGACATGCAGCTTCACTACCTCCAGATGGTAGCAGATATTCCGTTCTTTTAATAATCACCGATGGTGTTATCAGTGATATGAATAGAGCAAAAGAAGAAATCGTAAAGGTATTACTTAATGTTTTTTTTCGTGTACTTTCGTAATTAACAAAAGCAGAACCTTGATGATTTATCAGTGCAACGATTTTTTTTGGTGCAAAATTTCTGAAGCAAGCAATGATAAATAAATCAATAAATAATGAAATCACCATTTAATTAGAATCTGTCTAAATCATTTTCTATTTTTTAATTTCGTAACTTACAATTTCATTTCAAATTATTTTCTCCAGCGCAATAATGAGTGACAAGTGCTTATTTAAGGCGTCATCACTGCCATTATCCATAATAATTGTTGGAGTTGGTTATGACAGTTTCGGTGAAATGAAAGTTTTAGACTCCGATCGACAAATGTTGCAAGTAAATGGTAAATATGCAAAACGTGATATTGTTCAGGTAATCATAAAGTTTTTCCACTCTTTGATTTGCTTAATTACTTATATCAACTGAAATTTTGATTAATATGACATAAATATTGTGACAAGATAAATTTGATACTGTTTAAGCATATTAGAAATGAAAGTATTCTGAATTAAATGCGTTTGTTTGGTAATGAAAACACGTACTATTTTTTCTTCATTCCATATTTTTTAGAAAGTTACAATAAACGCAAGTTTGAACTTACTTTTTCTTACAGTTTGTACAGCTTCGAGAATTTTTACCACCTCATCGTATTTTAACTGATGATGATTTGATCGAAGCTAAGTATCGTTTAGCCAAAGAAGTTTTGCAAGAAGTAAGTTTGTTCTTATGATCGAAGCATGATTTTGCACTTGTTGATTTGAGAAAATTATTAAAATCTATAATGTAAAATTTTTATAAAATTGCAAATTTACTAGAGTAGGAAAATCATGCCTTCAACAATATTCTCCTTACAGTCTTCCCTTCCTAAATATAGTTTTGAATGAAATTGACTCCTAAGTAAATATTAATTATGTTTTTATTAAGTATAAAGTTCGTACCTTTTCTAATACTTTCGGTTCATGCAAGATTTAGTGCTACTGATTTATCCATTTTTTTCAGGTACCCGCACAGTTAACAAGTTATATGAAATCAAAAGGAATATTTCCGAAACAACTTTGTTCCGTTTCATGTGATGATGATCGAAAGTTGTCTGTGGAACGCGAATATCCAAGTTTGATGTTTTTCTGAAAATAATTTTGAAAAATAACTACTTTTTTTGGGAAATAATATTTTGTATTAATCATCAAGAATCGTTAGTATAAACTTCCACCAAAGAAAGAAACTGGATAATGGAAGGAAAGAACTGAAAAGAGATAAGAATAATAAAACTTATTGAAGCAAGAAGAAAAATGATATAACTTGCCTAACCGAAATGTCAGATAGAGTGAAAATGCTTGAATGAAAGTTCCGATCAAAAATTTAAAAGACATTACTTGCAATTGTTCACATTTGATCGCCTTTCTTCAGATAATCCTATTTACTCTGAATGAAAGAATTCCAAAATCAGAATAAAATTTTCTTCCGTAATATGAGATTTTATTTTTCTTAGATGATTCATTTATGTTATCAGTTCAAAAGAAAAAAAAAAAACGAACGAATATATTTTAGATCTCCAAACAACATCACGAACAAGAAGGCGTCTATTACCAGCAGTACCATGTGAGGAGGTACAAAATATGCATATTAATTCAACCAGGTCTGCCTAATTACTTTTTAGCTCACTATTCATCTAGCAAGTTAGTCTTCCTATGATCACTTCTTAGGACCAATATTTATTGTATTCTATCCAACGCTACAATTGGCTTCATTTAATCAGATAAGACAGTAACTGACCGTTTCTTTCCTTAGAATTCTAATGAAATCTGCAATTTCGATCAATCAATTCATAACTCCATTAATGACTGAATGCCTGAATAGTTGGATTATTGGTTGTGTACATAATTCGTTATGAAAATATGTTTGTATAGATTACTTTTGAGATATTAAATGAATATATTCTTAAAATTCGGTGTTTTTTTTTTGTTGACAATGACCAGCTGTCAATTAAATTCAATGTGCCAAAATCACGTATTGTATTAGGATGAAAAATGACACTTGCATATTTGATGAATTTTTTCTCGAACTTTCTTCACATTTTTTAAATGATACTTAGAACCATTCGCATCATTGTATAAAAGTTAAAAAACTCACAAGTTTAAGTGATTCTTCGTTGCATCCAATTGTAAAATAATTTCTTCTAATGTCACACTGTTTCAGTTATTTCAATATTTCATTCAGTCTGAATTACTAATAAGAATTTTTTAAAGTTCCAATCGATGTGACCTGCTATTCACATCACTTTCGCTGAAAACTGTCGTTTTTCTAACCTGTAGAAGCTGTTATACCACTTTTAACAAATAAAGTACTATGACTTTTCTATTATTTTTTCACATCTCATTAATTCATTCAACCGGAAAATAAAAGCCAAGCAAACATAATACTAAATCATTTCAAAGAACACCAGAATCTGTTCGGTTTCAAATTTTCGAATTCAAATCTTTTTAACTTGTAATAAGTAATGCTCTTCCAAATGAACGAACATGTTTTGGCATTCAATTCATACAATTCACCTCAATTATCATTTTGAGAATTAAACAAAAAAAAATCTGACCAAACATTTAAAATGAGTTAAAAGAACGAAGCATAGCGGAACTGTCTCTTCCAAAGCGTTCCCACGCTTCTTTCAAATTTTGTACACATTCGTGCACACATACATGCAAACACAAACATACACAGACATATATAGATAAAACAGACACACGCACACACACACATATGCACAGACACAAATACACGAAGATACAGACACATACACACAGATACACAGACACGTGCACACGGACACATACACACGGGCACATACGCACAGACACATGCAGACAGACACATACAGGCAGACACATACAGACAGACACATACAGACAGACACATA